TAACATTTCATAAATGTTCAATCTACTCACCGTATAAGATATCACGACATTGATCATACCCTCCTGTCTCTCGCCTAGTTTTCCACTTAGACTGTACCATTCATCAACAGTTTCACCCTGAAATTTTAGAAAAAAAAAAAAATAAGATTAATAATTATAATAATAAATATCAAAGCAATGAAACAATGCAACAAACACAATGACATTCAAAACATTATTCCTTACTATTACAACAAATTGCAATTCGCTACCTTATGAACTCTAGTCCTATAAAAACTTTAAAGAGGAAATATGATCATGGTATTCTTTTACTTATTTCTTAATTGTAGATGGGCATAAGAATGCAAAAGGAAAAAAAGAGAGGTCATAATAATATATAAATACATATCATATATATATATATATATATATATATATATATATATATATATATATATATATATATATATATATATATATATATATATATATATACACATACACATACACATACACATGTATACAAATGTGCTTTATATATATATTATATATACATATATGTATATATCAATTCTATATACATATATGTATGTATACATACATATATGTATATATGTATGTGAATATATGTATATATATATGTATGTGTATATATGTGTATACACATGCATATATATATACTTCACCCAATGCCGACAGGTATGACGTGTACATACATGCCATGCCCACTGTGAGTTACTTGTTAAATTGTTTTTACACATAGATGGCTACACTAACTCACCAATGAGCCAATTACGAGTACTGCCTGTTTACCCTTTTCTTTGATTTACAAAAATATTTTACGTTATCTTATTTTGCTGTTACTAATGCTTATAACATTATAGTAATTGTAATGTTCATAATAAAAATATTCACAGCACTAGTAAAAAATATTTTTTTCCGGCCAATTCAAATCAGGTAAGGTCACAAGGTCTACTAATTGACTCCTATGTGAATAAGAACTAGCAGAGCCATCTATGTGCAGAGACATTTCACAAAAAATGAGCAGAGTATTTTCTCCATTTTTTATTCATTCTCCCCAGCGCCATTGGGTTAAATATATATAGAAACATATATATAAGGTTGATTCCATGTAAAGGTTGGACAGGCATGAACCCACCAATTCAAATTTCAACCAAATTTGGATCAAATGTTCATACATACAAAATATGAAAAACTGCAAAATTTCAGACCCAAATTCCAAGTGCTTCAAAAATTGTGAGGGTTTAATATTTGGTTCAGTTTACCCTGTTTTTACCCCATAGCTGCTGTTGTGACCCATACCTAGCTAGCTGCACCGGAGCCCCAAGAATATCTTAGTTTCCAAGCCAAAATAACCCGCATAAACCCACGTGGATGATGTTACCTCCTTTTTTTATGTATTTTTATCGGTTTTTATAATATTACTTTGTAATCATGAACATTATTCTTATTTTGAAAAGAACCATAACTGTTTTCTTTTGTCTTTTTTTTTTTGTACTCTTTTTAACGCTTGAGGCAAGAACTTACATACATTTTTTTTTTCCTCTCATTTTAACAGTCTTAAATCCCATTTTATAACCTCTCAAATATAGATACACAAGCTATATATTTTTTTAGGGGCCTGCCATGCTATCTAGGGAGGTAGAATTAGTTAGCTTGTTCCTGGACTAGTTACTAGCCCACTAACTAGATCCCTGCTGGAATTGGCTATATATAGCCCAGGAAATGAGCAGAAAGACACAGGAGGTATAGGCTGTCAGTCAATTTCCTTAGCGGCCGTTGCAGACCCAGTGGAAGCTAGTGACTTTTTTTTGTGGTTCACCTCCAGTCGTATGGTTTCGATGGCAGTAAAGTGGGATTTTTATGCTTTTCATATTTTTACAGTAAAAAGCAGAGTGCTCCTTTTGTGCTCTTTTTTATTTTTTCATTTTTTATTTTTTTGGTGTGTTTTAGGTTCTGGTTTTTATTGCTCGTTCTTTTTAGTGTACATGTATTCCCTTGTGTAACGGTTACTTTTTGTGTTCTTTTACAAGTGTTTTAAGTGTTTTAGCGTTAACCATTGCCACCCGGGAAAATCCTAAAAAATGGGAAAATGCTATGCTCGTTTTTTATATTTCTGTGAAATGTCTCTGCACATAGATGGCTCTGCTAGTGCTTTGCCACAAAGTAGTCAATTAGATCTTGTGACTTTACCTGATTTCACTTTTCCTTGAATTGGCGGTAAAAACATATTTTTTAATAGTGTTATGAATATCGATAGTGTTATTTTTATTATAAACATTATAAATACTATAATGTTATAAACATTAGTAACAGCAGAATAAGATAACATAAAACATTTTCGTAAATCAATGAAAAGGGTGAACAGGCAAGACAGGCAGTACTCATAACTGCTCAATGGTACTCTTTTTGCATCAAAACTTATAATCATTTTAACCCATTCGTGCCGGGCGTCACGTATACGTGACGGGCCCACTGTGAGTTTACTTATTTGATTGTT